GTGTGAAGCAGAGCCCTTTCGCGGTCGCGAAGCGCGGCGTGTGTGACCACAACATCGGACAGTACTATATATATATATAATATAATATATATGTGTGTGTGTGTTGTGTTGTGTGTGTGTGTGTGTGTGTGTGTGTGTGTGTGTGTGTGTGTGTGTGTGTGTGTGTGTGTGTGCGTGTTGTGCGATGTGTGTGGTGTGTGTGTGCGTGTGTGTGGGCGTGCGTGTGTGTATGTATGTGCTGTGTGTGTGTGTGTGTGTTGTGTGTGTGGTGTGTGTGTGTTGTGTGTTAGTGTGTGTGTGTGTGTGTGTGTGTGTGTGTGTTGTAATGTGGTGTGTGTGTGTGTGGTGTGTGGTGTGCTGTGTGTGTGGGCGTGCCGTGTGTGTATGTATGTATGTGTGTGTGTGGTGTGTGTGTGTGTGTGTGTGTGTGTGTTGTGTGTGTGTGTGTGTATGTGTGTGTGTGTGTGTGTGTAGTGTGTGGTGTGTGTGTGTGTTGGGTGTGTGTGGTATGGTGTGTGTGTGTGTGTGTGGTGTGTTGTGTGTGTGTGTGTGTGTGTGTGTGTGTGTGTGTAGTGTGTGTGTGTGTGTGTGTGTGTGTGTGTGTGTGTGTGTGTGTATGTGTGTGTGTGTGTATATGTGTGTGTGTTTCTATATATATATATATATATATGTACGAGCAAGTATATGGCGGAAAAATATGTATAGTTATAGATTAGGCACTGCTCAGACATGCAGGTTACGATAGAAAACTCGAACACAGTAGATAGGTTTGATGCAGTAAAAAACCACGAGTCGATTTCGACGCCATTAGCCTCATGCCGCAGCAAATTCAGTTCTCGCCTAGCTTCCTCCTCGGTGCGCGACTGATAAATCAGAAACTGTGCTATCGGTGTGATCATGGGGACAGGTCGGGAATGCGCACGTATTCCTGCGGTGGGAACACATGCACTGTCAGGCCAGGGATCAAGTCGGGTTTGCTTCGGATCGGACAGTTCAACTGCAGTCGTCATTGTGGCGAAAGAAATGGAACAAATGCGACTGCCGCTCACTAGTGGTGGTGCTGGTGCGCGCATGCGGGAGGGTCCGTATGTTTGCGTGCGTGCGTGCGCGCACGCGTTCGTGCGTAATTACACAGGCACTTGGAACGTCTCAATAAAATAAAATAAATGTAAATAAACACAAAATGTATTTACTACCAAAGTCTTAATGTTTCTCTACTCTATTTCGCCTATAATCACATGTAAATGCCGGCAAAATGCTCATCTGCAACACACAAGTACACTGCACGCTAGCTGCTGCACACTGACACATAAATATATAGTTATGTGTCAGTGTGCAGCAGCTAGCGTGCGGCGGCCAGCGTGTGACAGTGTGTTGCAGATGAGCATTTGGCCGGCATTTACAGGAAATTGTCGGCAATAATAGGTGAAAGAGAGTAGAGAAACATTAAGACTTTGGTAGTAAATAGATTTCGTATTTATTTAGCATTATATTTTATTGAAACGCTTCAAGTGCCTGTGCGTAATTACGTATGATGTCAGCTTGATTTTCTGATTACATGCTATGGTGTTCTATCGTATGTTGTTTTTGATCACGATGACATGGCTGCATCACGCTATATATGTCTGATATCTACGTAAGTTATCACGGCTGTCTAGGTAAGTATCTATGTCAGTTATCTATGTCTCTGTTCCGCCCCCTTACTTCTACACCCCCCTCCGTCTCTATCTCTTTATTTCTCTCTCTCTCTCTCTCTCTCTCTCTCTCTCTCTCTCTCTCTCTCTCTCTCTCTAACTTTCCAACACACACTCTCTCTCTCTCTCTCTCTCTCTCTTCGTCACTCTTCTCCCCTCTTTTTCCCTCTCTCCGCAGCCTCATCACCCTATCGGGTGGTCGTTGTCCATAGTTTCACAAGGCAACAGAGGTAGCTGGGTGGCATATGCGGAGTTACTACAATACGGTGTGACAAAAGCTACGAGACAACGGCCGGAACAAACATTTACAGGTGCGTGAGGTGTCGCGTGGGGACGGCCGGCCGACAAGACACGTTCAGGCACAGCGTCGGCGGGCGGCCACAGCTCGCACGGATAGTCTGCTTTGCTTGACACTAATTCACCGCCGACAATGCGAATAAGTTATAGAACGATTGTGAAAGAACGCGCAAGGGAGAGAGTGTGTGTGTGTGTGTGAGAGAGAGACTGAGAGAGAGGGGGAGAGAGTGCAGAGAGGCAGAGCGAAAGAGAGAGAGAGGGGGGAGGAGCGGAAACGAGCAAGGCATAGAGAGAGTGGGGAGGGGGGAGAGAGCGCGTGTGTGTGAAACCATCACATACATTATAAGATGGGTGTTAACGCATTATGGATTTTTCTTGGCGTACACGCGCTTCTAGTTTTAAGCTAACTGCTGTAGAATTTGTTACTCGATAACCCGTCGCGGGGCAAAGTATTGTCATACATCACCATAATGCGGCATTGCCGATATCTCAAGCTGCTTACAAGCGACGTCCAGGCTAGCATCGCCACGTCTAACGTCACCATCTCTAGCGTCGCCACCTCTAACGTCGCCACCTCTAGCGTCACCACCTCTAGCGTCGCCACATCTAGCGTCGCCACATCTAGCGTCGCCACCTCTAGCGTCGCCACCTCTAGCGTCATAGAGAGAGAGAAAGAGAAAGAAGAAACGAAAGACGATCAGTCAGAAAAGACAAAAAAGAGGAGGAAGAGAAGAAGGGGAAGAGAGAGAAGAAGAAGAAGCGGGAAAAGAAGGCGAAGAAGAAGACGACGACGACGAAGAAGGAATTAGAGTGAGAGAGAAGCGAGAGAGGGGAAAGAAACGGGAGGGATATCAAGAAAAATAGAGAGCGCGCGCGCGAGAGAGAAATATATAGAGATCCGGGAGATATTCACCAATCACCACCACTCGCCCACGGCAGGCGTGTATGCTCCCGGCTCCGTTACTGCCCACGTTGACATGATGCCGCTATACGTAACTACAGACTTTATCGTCTGCGCTCTTACCTTCCTCTTTGATGCCGTTAGTCTCGGCAATCTTACTGAGATCCGTCGGTTGATCTTTATCCTCCGTGCTCTCTGGACTCGACGCACTTTCCTGGGGAATAAACGAGAAAAACGCTGTAGTGGAAAGATGGAGTAAATGCTGAGGGCGTCACCAATCCGAATGTGTTTGCCGATCGCATTGGTGGCGTGCGGCAAATACTACACGTGAGTGACAAATCGTCGTTTACGATTGTGAACATTAGCTATTGTCGGTCGGCGTATACCGCCTTTTCTCGACCGCTACCTTTTGCCGGACTAAACCCCGTCTCTCCGATCTCATCACATTCAACTTCCTATACCCCGTCCAAGTTGATCACTGTTCTTTGTCCCATTTGATCCCTATCTCTTTCATATTCGCCGTCTTCCACACGCACACACCTGTTTTCCTCGCTGTTCTCTTTAGCCCTTTCTCTTTTCTCACTGCTCCTCCTCCTCCTCCTCCTCCTCCTCCTTCTCCTCCTCTTATTATACTTCGTACCCTCCTCCACGCCCTCTTCCCGTTTCCATTCCCATTTATCCCCCAGGCCCCTTTCCACTTCTTCCCTCGTTTTCGGCGACCTTCCTACTCCTTGCGTATCCTCCCCTCTCCCTCCTCCTTCGACCCCTCTTCCTTCCCGCACCCAGTTCCCACCACCCAGTTCACCGCACGTACACGATCTCGATCGCCGGGCTGCGATGACGAAATTAGTCGATACTGCTTTGCTCGATGATCCTGCATGGTAGCGTCCCACTCCGTCCAACTCCAGCCGTTAGTTCTAACGCTAGGTTTGATAATTTGCGCTGACGCATGCTGCAGTGGCCGCCGCCCCGCGCGTTGCCACGCAGGGAAGCTTCATGGTGATCAGGAGATCAGGAGAAGCGTGTGCACGTGTGATACAACCACAACACGACGAGTGAAAGGTTTCCGTGCCGTATTATAATTATCACAGATGTGTACGAACGGGTGGGCTGACAGGCAGACAGAGAGGCAGGTAGGGAGGCAGGGTGGTAGGCAGGCAGGCAGAGATGCAGGCAGGCAGGTAGAGATGCATGCAGGCAGGCAGGTAGACAGACATGGAGACAGGCAGGGAAGCAGGTAGGCAGGTAGGCAGAGATGGAGACAGGCAGGGAAGCAGGTAGGCAGGTAGGCAGAGATGCAGGGAGGCAGGGAGACATTCATTAATGCAGACACACACAGGGGGGCATGTGGCACACACACAGCGCAAAAAGGTCGGATTGGATCACCTATCCCTGGTGCAATCGCCAAATTGAGTGACGTCACTAGGTGCGTAATTGCCCGGATGCCATACTCTGGGCGAGCGGGAGGGTGGGGGTGGATAGCTGACTGCTCCGCCTCGCGATCACCCACGCTCGTCATCATTCGCACATCATCCCCTCCCTCCAGACCCGCTCCTCCCTCCTCCCCCGTGGCGCGTGCTTGCATTCTCTGTCGGCAACGTCGCCCCGCCGCGAACCGAGCCTTTATTGTCTCGAGGTAATCAAAGAAGCCCGGTTTCCGTTTCAGCGGCGATTCGTTGCCATGGCAACACCACGAAACGTAGGCCGCCTTTTTCACCCCTTCGCCGCTCGTGGAGTGCGCGCTCACGAGCGTGTGTCGCTGCGTGCCCAGCCTCCTGGTGTACGCTGCCGTGTTACCGGCGGCCAGCCTACCCTCACTCACCCATACACTAGTAGCGAGAACATGCAGATAGTTGTTCGTTGCTAACTTTACAGCTCAATAGCATCGAGTTGTAAGCCGGCCGCACGCACATGAGGTATAGTAGGTAGTACAGTGATGCTGCATGCGTCCCATAGAGACGTCCCGTGCGTTCACTTCAATTATGTCTAATTATAAATGTACATGTATTATACATAGGACATCTATCTACCTACTAAATATAAATGTGTGTGTGTGTGTGTGTGTGTGTGTGTGTGTGTGTGTATGCGCGCGCGCTCGTGTGTGCGTGTGTGCGTGCGCGCGCGTGTGTGTGTGAGAGAGAGAGAAAGAGAGAGAGAGAGAGAGTGCGCGTGTGTGCAACGGAGTGGCGGGAAAGGGGAAATATATGGTGATTATTTTACATTTATTAAAAACAGAACGCAGCTGGAAAGCGATTACCTGTGTTCGCCTTCTCTCGCCATGCGTGTAAGCGACTGCAATTATGCATTTCGCGTTAGAAATGCACGGTATGTGTGTGCCGAGCGAATCTCGCAGCCATATCAACGTATATACACGCGTATACGACCATGGGAGCGTGTCACCGTGTCCTGCTGCGTTACCACCATGTATCACCATGCCCTGATACATTAGCAGCGTATATGAGTAGGCAGTTAGTTAGTAGTAGGTCACTATGAAATTATCAGCCGGTCCTGACATGTTTCGAGCGTGTATATATCATCATCCCTCATGACCATCGCACGTTTACTGCCATATGCGCGCATGTCATCGTGTACGTATTCCTCTTGTACAACTATGTACTAATATGTAGTATTCAATAAATACACATGCACGCACACACGTGTAGTCGCTCATACGTACAACCCATTCACGACGTACACACACACACACACGCATACACACACACATACGCACGCACGCACGCACGCACGAACATACACACACACACACACACACACACACACACACTCTTCTCTTGCGTCACCACCTTTAACGTCACCTTCTCTTGCGTCACCACATTTAGCGTCACCATCTCTAACGTCACCTTCTCTTGCGTCACCACCTCTAACGTCACCACATCTAGCGTCACCACTTCTAACGTCACCACATCTAGCGTCACCACCTCTAACGTCACCACATCTAGTGTCACCACCTCTAGCGTCACCACATCTAGCGTCACCAACTCTAGCGTCACCAACTCTAGCGTCACCACCTCTAGCGTCACCACCTCTAGCGTCGCCACCTCTAACGTCACCTTCTCTTGCATCGCAACCTCTTGCGTCACCACCTCTAAAGTCACAACCTATAACGTCACAACCTCTAACGTCACCGTCTCTTGCAGAACCCTCTTTAGCGTCACTATCTTTAGCATCGCCACTACAGCAATCGTCGGCAACTCATCATAGCAACGTATACGCGCATCACCGCGTCAGCCTGCCGACGTAGGCTTGCGTCACCTCGTTCTGTCGCCGCCTTACGTTACCACGTCACCCTACCGACGTTGTCCTGTGACCGTGCGTCCGTCCGTGCGTGCGTCCGTGCGTGCGACCGTGCGTGCGTCCGTGCGTGCGTCCGTGCGTGCGAACGTGCGTGCGTCCGTGCGTGCGTCCGTGCGTGCGAACGTGCGTGCGAACGTGCGTTTGGTCTTGTGTCTGCATGTTTTAAGATTTTAAGCCTGTAGTTTAGGCCATCGCCGCTTGAATCATGCGGGCCCGTGCAAAACGGTGATAGCTCGAGTCGCGCGTGCATAATTATAGATGGAGGGATGGATCGCAAACACATTCAAAATTAATGATAATTAAGCTCATTGTTTATAATTGCGTCTGTTAATTGCCCTCCTAATTGCGTCAACTAAACACTAGACAACGCTTAAAGTCATATAAACGCAGAGCGAGGAGCGAGACAATTAATCCGATTTTGTTAATTAGGCTAATTAGACAAACAAAGTTCGCAGCCGCAACGTAAATCTATTATTCACTAGCGAACACATACATATTCGCGATCAAAACGACGTTGCGATACAGGAAAAACAAGCGATCTGTTTACAAGCATGAAGATCCCGACGCTGCCACGAAGCGTCATCGGGAAAAACGAAGCGTCACGCGTAAAAAAACTCGGTGGAAAAGTTATGGTCACGTACGAGTGACCGCGCGATGACCTTGTGACGTAGCGGTGACCTTGTGACGTAGCGGTGTGTTTATATGATCATGTAGCGTGCACGTCGATGCGTAATTTCGCATTTGAATACATCAAACGTATACGTGCGTATGTGCGTGCGTATGCTAGCGCGCATGTTGTAGTGGTGCTCGTCGTCGTCGTCATGACAACAGCAGTGATTGTGATGTAATTATTACTGTTTATAATTTATACACATTTAATATCGAAATAAAATTGTCTAGAATAGAAGATTTAGGTAGCCGCATTTTCTATTATACATATAACGTGCGCATATAACATTTGCTCTCACGCGAACCGGTCAGCTTTAGATCTGGTACTAATTAATGATAGAAACATGAGGCATTGTCGTCAACTATAATGAGGATGGTACAGATAGCACGCTGTCTATTGTAAATTAATGGCATAATTAATTAACTTGTTAATTGAATTTTATAAAATTATGAAGACAGCGGCGGATCAGAACGGGATAAATTGACGGACAGAAGGTTTATAATGATGAGTGGCAGAGTCTGTCTCGTACGTCCGTACAGCCTTACTGTTGGAATGCGCTGCGAATCAGTGTTGCAGATCACGGGAGTAAGCATTAGCAATCACGCAATCACGATCCGCACGCACACACGCCCTCTCACGTACGCACGCACGCACGCACGCACGCACGCACGAATGTACGAACGCACGAGTCCTGGTCTACAGCGAGTGAGCTGTCTTGGTGACTCGTGATTTCATAATTCGTGTTCGTAGCTCGCTGACTATATACGTGCCTAATCACGCTCAATTGTACGTAGTAGAAACTATTGAGCTAAAAGACAATTACATTCGTGCAATGGCTGAAGTGGAAAGCAGTTAAACGCTGTTGGCAAGTGTGAAGCAGAGCTTTCCGTCCGAACGCGCGTGGTCGACCACAACATCGACAGTACCTATATATATATATATATATATATATATATATTATATATTATTTATTACTCCTAACTATTGTCTGGTCTCTCTCACAATTCCCTCTCCCTCTCCTCTCATCTGTCTTTTTTTATCTCCGCACGTCTCTCCCCTATGTTCTCTCAGCTCTCTCTCTCCCCTCTCCTCTCCTCTCCTCTCTTTCCCTATCCCCCCTTCTCTGTCTCTCACGTCCTGCTCTCATACAGAGATAACGGACCGCCCAGCGATTTCCGCTCTATATTTGACACACAGCGCATGAGACGCCGTCTGGCGTGCGTGCGTGC